ACCACCAAAAACAAGAAAAATAAGGTCCCCAGGACCAGTGATAGTAACGCCTCCAAGACCAATGATAATAACGCCACCACCACTTCTACGACTAATGACAATGACCCCTCCGAGACCTATTATGTTCCCCCAACACCACCCAATCCAAGACCTAGCCAAAGGACACCTAATTCACGTAATAATAGGAGAAACAGAAATGGTAAGTAAAATTCCACCTTTTTAGATATACTCGAAGCATACGAATACTTATGTAGTAGAATTTTATTTAAATCAGATAATTCGAATTATGGCATCTTACTAGACGATGAGGAATATGTTGAGAGAGGTGATTACGTGACACCAATTTCGGAGGCATCTTTAATAAGACGTATAGAAAATGATGACTGGAGCGATATGAATCCTCGTGATGCTCAAGAAGCGTTAGATCAAATGTAAACCCCACCAACCTGACCTGTTAAGGGTGCCTCTTTCGGGCATTGTTTTTTTTTATTATATAATAAAAATATACATTTGTATATTGCCGTTCCGGCAAAAAAAAATATTAAATAAAGAAGTGGGGGTTCACACCCTCACCAAATTTTATTTTTATACTGTACAATTTTTTACAATGTAACCCTTTTTTCTCATAAATTCGAAAAAAGAAAAAAAAAGTGATCAATGAAGAGAACATATATTTATCTAATCCGTGACTTTGAGCAATGCAATTGCGAGAAGGCGCTGGGATTCCAGCCGTTTTCCTAATGCTATTCTTGAGATCATAATTGAGTAATATATTTTTTACATTAATATGCGTAGATTGGACGATCTGATTTTCTATAAGTTTCGCCGGTATTTAAATTGTAGTAGTAACCTTCATCATCGTCAGAATACATTGCGCCCATATAATCATCATTATTCTCACTATCATCAGAGGGATCCAAGTTAAAACCCGAATAATCAGAGATGTTTGTCTGCGTAACAGTATCTGTATAATTAGATGCAATCTCTTCAGTAGATATACTTACCTCGGTTTCAGTAGATATACTTATCT